CCGGACTGTTGGGTGTGAATGGAAGATGCCGTTTGTGTGGGGACTGGCGGGCGGCGGGGTCGTAGCCTCATGAGCCTTTTCCTCTCCTGTGCCGCTCCAGCTCGGGCTGCTTCCCAACCTCCCGACCGCACGGCGCTGCCTGGGGTGCTGGTGGGGTCAGCGGCCTTCTGCAAGGTGCGTGCATACGGACACCACGCCAGCGAGACCCTGCAGTGGGGCCATGAGGTCCTGAATGAAGGGCCAAGACCATTTCCTGCTCACCTCACTGCGGAGTGGAGCTGACACAGAAAGTTGACAGTCGGGGGAAACCAACTTTGCTAGTTGCCCGGCAGCTCCTGCGGCTGCCTGGTATGGGGTGGCCCAGCTCCTGGCCTCCCACACAAAGAGCGTTCTGTTTGTTGCTCCGCATTTGTCCGGAGGATTTGTGCTGGTTTCGTACTTAATTATCACCCTGGACCCAGAGGTGGGAGGCTGCTGGCTTTGGCTTGGTGATTAACATAAGGAACTAACTGCACAGGGTTTCGCTGAGCTTAGGGGACCCAGCAGGTGGGACGGGGCAAGTTGGCTTGGGCCGTAAACTGCTGGGCACCTGCTCTGCCTGCAGCGGCTCCGGAGATACCAGGGTGTCAGGGAACAAGAGGCCAGTCAGGTTCTATTGGAGGCGTTGTCCTCTGTCCTGTCTCTTCTCTCTTCCTCGCCTTGGTTTCAGTTTGGTGAGTAATGACTTGCCAGAGAGGCAAAGAAAAACACAAAACTCTCTCACCCCAAACAGGAAGCAAAGCTGACTCCTGTAGCCAAAGTAAACTTAGAAGGGAGAGAAGCAGTTACACGACTGTCCCAAGACAGTGACTGAAACGTGAACTTGTAAAGCCCTCCACCTGGCATTCCTAGAATCCCGTGCTCTGTGGGGTAGGCAGGAGGCTGGGGAAAGGCCCAGGGCTTCCAAACCTGAATCTCCCTGGTTCTGTGGAGCAGTCTTATCCCCAGCCAGAGTGTTCAGAAATTGGCTGCTAATGAAAGATACAAGTGCAGGTGCTGCTGAAAAACACAGACGGGGTGTGGTGGTGCACACCTGTAATCTCGGTACTCGGGAGGCTGAGGCAGGAGAATCATGGCTAGTGCAAGGTCAGCCTGGGCTACATAGTGAGATTGTCTCAAAAAGCCCCAAATCAAAACACACCCAAACACAGTCTCTTATTCTGAGCAAGAGTGTTGGTTGGCCCTTGACGGCCCTCTGTGTGATGGTAGCCCTCATAAACGGTGAAGTCCAGTGTCCAAGTGCCATTCCCCTCCCTGCCCCATCTTGGCCTTCTGTGGAGATCCCCAGCTGGAGCGACTTCTCCAGACCCATCACCCAAGCCTTGACTTCTCCATACCTACCTGCCATGCCTACCTCCCTCTTTGTCCCTTCTGAACAAAGAGCTATTTCCTCCTGAAGTGCAGTGTTGGTTCCAAAATTTGTGCAGAAGAGAGGCTTGGCGAATGTAATCTGGTGGGACTACAGCTACAAAGATGTTTTAAAGTTATATTTTGATGGCAAACACAGTTATTGCTTAAACTGATTTTTGCTTTGGGGGTGTGTGCATGATTAGTGGAGTACCCCAGAGATCACCCATACGCATCTCATTTCTGGGCATGCGCCGCCTGGTGGAGAGTTACTGCTTCTGCACGGTGAAGCCCTTAACACCACGTTTCAAAGACACCTTCTAGTCCTAGGTTGTGCCAGACTTACAACCTCCTGTGGCTTGGTGCCTTCATCTGCAAAGCAGGAATAAGGAAACCGCTGGGCCTGTTTGCCTTCTGGTGCTAGGATGTGGAAGAGCATGCTGTATGTGTGTGTGGGGGGGAGTCCATTCAGTCAATGCCTGCTGTATTTTTATTATTTCATGAAATAGAAATGAGCGTGTCTCTCCTAAGGGTGCTGTTCTTTTTTCTTCCTTTACTGAAGTTTATATTTCTTAGCTGGATTTTTTGGTATTAAATCTGTAGTGCTGCTGGGCGTGGTGGTGCACATCTGTGATCCCAGCATGAGGGAGGCTGAGGCAGAAGGATGTCTCAGAGTTCAAGGCCAGCTTGGACTACATAGTGAGAGCCTGTCCTATGCTCCCGCACCCCTATCCCCTATGTAATGTTGGGGGAGACCATTCCTCTGGGAGTCATAGGCATAAAATAGAATCTGAGGAGAGAATCAGGACCACACCTACCATTTCGTGAGCGCTTAAGATGCATGCCAGGCCTCCCTGGGACTTACTCCTGTTGGGGTCAGAACTCCCACCGGGCCGGCTCTCTGGGGGCTGTTCACCTCACTGATGAGGAAGCTGAGCTTAAACTCGCGGTCCCTTGCCGGAAGTACTAGTGACGCAGCTGGGGGACCCTTGGGGCTGACTTCTAAGCTCTCAGCATCACTGCCTGCGAGACAGTACAGTCACAGGGTCCAGGGGATCGTCCCGCCCCTTAGGGTGCTGGGTGCACAGAAGGAAAAAGGATGGGCAGGGACCGAGTCTTAAACCTGCTGTCCCTGGCGCCTGGCTGTGGGAGGAAGGCCGAGGACGTGGCCCTGTAATGGGGGACGTGGCTCTCGCTCAGAGTCAGGCAGTGTCCACCCTGTGTGCCGAAGCCTGTTTAACCAAGCGCTGAGTAGAATCAGCAGAAACTGTCACACTCCAAGCTCAGATCCCGGCTGGAACTGCAGGGAGTGCTTCTCACTAGGCCAGAACGCGACTGGCGCTCCGCTGGGCCAGGGACACCTTGTCAGTGTCCTGCCAGTGCAGGGAGGGCGAGGCTGCTGTCCTTGGTTTATCAGCAAAGTGGTATTTTGGAAACGCCAGCCTTTCTGTAACTTCTGAGGTGACGATACATCTGATTCTTCCACACCCTTGCCGAGGTGGAGGAGTTCAGAGTGTTCAGGAATGCTCCTGTCCCGTGTGGAGTGCAGGCTGGACAGAAGGCAGAGCGGGGCCTCCGAGGGAACGGGGTCAGACACAGAGGAGAAAGTCCAGGGCAGCTCTTCTCAGGGGCTGCACCAGTCGGTCTCCTTCCGCCCTCTGCTCCCAGGATCCTGGGTGGCCAAGCTCAGCCTGAAAGTCATTTTAGCTTCAGGGAGGGGAGCAGGGATTTTTCTGGCAGGGTTGGAAGAGAATTTGAACTTTATTTTTATTATTTTTAAAAAAATATAACATTTATTGCTTAGATGGTTCAATACAGAACAGGGTTCTTTGCATTCTGGATTTGGAAGTTCTATACAGTTGAGTACAAAGAGGGACAAAAGGGACGGACCCCAACCAAACTTGTGATTCTCTGTTCGTGTGGCATTAACCAATTTTGTACCTAATATGTGGCAGCAGTTTTTAAGCTCCCTTTAGAAAAATAGGAATTCTACATACTTATTATGGCTCTGGTTGAATGCATGGGCTGCAATCACTAGGATCAACTTCCTTCTGGGAGAGAGAGAGGAGAGACGATGCGGATGGATCTGAGGCTGGTCTCCGGCTGTCTGGAAACAGCTCTGGGTGTTCTGTTCTGTTCTCACAGCCGGGTGTTTCCTGTGGTGACTGCATCTCAGCCTTGTGTCCATTAATCAAAGAGAAGAAAATTGGAATGTTAGAGTCTTACTTTCTTTAGAGCACTCAGATTCTTAAGGAATACCCAACCACCTCGGAGTGAGAGTCTCCCAGCGTGGGCTCTTCCCTTTTAACAGTTTCATTTTTAAATGAGATGCTGTATTCCTTAGGACCCTTGGAACTGCCAAAAAGCTGGGGAGACGGGCACATCCGCCTGTGTGCACAATTCTGATTGGATCCTGGGAGCTCAGATCTAACGCACCTGCTGGTGGCAAACTGGTAAAACACCCTTCCTCTGGCCGGGATGCGGGTCTCACGCAGGGCCACCTTATCTCTAATTCAACTTTAAAAAGCAACACAGTGCTGTGACCCTTCTCTAAGAGGAAAGGAAGAAACGTGCGGAAAGAATTTGGAGAGCCCAGTCCTGCGCTGGACTAGCAGTCAGAGCGCAGGCGCAGCCAGCAATGTGCAGACCCCACGGTGCAGACCGTCTCCCGGGTGCGGGCCCCTGGCACCCCCTCCACGGCACCGGTGACCCCCTGCCATCCCCGCTCCGTCCCTCGGGTCCTCCTCCCAGGAGGAGCTCTCTCGGGGATTAACTCAGATCTCACAATGACCTGGCACCTTGGCACCACTGCTCCACGCGGGAGAAACAGGCCAGGGACATGGTGAGGAGTGCGGGGCCTTGGGCTCACGCGAGGGCCTCACGGCTCCTGGCCCCTAGAATCAGTCTTCGGGGAGAACGGATCAGAATGGCAGTGCGTTTCACTTGGCTGGTCAGGAAAAGACTCTCCGAGATGCAAGAGCGAGAGCATCGTCCTCCTAGCTCTTTACCTTTGTCACGGGATGCATTCATTTCTGTTGCTTCTATAGCCATTACCAGAAACCCCACTTTCCTGTCGGTGCAGGGGATCACAAACCCCGGGCCAGGTGTGTTAAAGGAAGTGCTTCACCGTGGGCCACAGCCACGTGCTCAGCCTTTTTTTTTTTTTTTAGTTTTGTTTTGAGACAGTCTTGCTAAATTGCTCATGTTGAACTGGTAATCCTCCTGCCTCAGCCTACTGAGTGCCTGTAATTATAGGCTTGGGCCACTGTACTGAGGTTATCTTACAGTTCTGTTTCTAAATCAGAATCTGATGCAGATCTCACTAAGCTAAAAATCAAGTCAGATTGGCTGCATCCCTTGCGTGAGGCCACAGGGGAGAATCTGCCTCCTCGCCTTGCTAGAATCTTAGAGCAACCATCCACAGGCCCAGGCCCCTTCCCTGTTTGAAGCCTCTAATAACGACAACTCCTCCTCCTCTCCAGTCACTCACTTTCTTCTTTTTGCTTCCCCCTTCCATTTTAAGGGCCCCATAGCCAGTCATGGTGGTGCACTCCTGTAATCCCAGCACTCAGGAGGCTGAGGCAGGAGGATCGCTGTGAGTTCGAGACCAGCCTGGACTACATAGTGAGTTCCAGGTCAGTCTCAACTTCATAGTGAGACCCTGTCTCAAAAAACCAAACCAAAACAAAACAGAAAGCACCATTTCAAGGGCCCCTTTGATTACACTGACCTCACCTTGGGATGACCCCCCCCCTTTCCAGACCAGCTGATTAGCAACCTTAATTCCTCCTGCAACATCATGTCCCCTTTGCCACTGACTGTAGCTTATTCTCCAGATCCAGAGTCCAGGACAGGGGGTGTTTGGGAAAGGACATCATCTCACCCAGCAAGTCCCGTTGGCCGGGGTTGCGATAGTGAGAGAATGCACTGTAATTCTTTTGGAAGCAAAGTGCTTTCTAACTTGTAGCAAGTTTCTCCTTCTGCACATTCTCTAGCCTGGTAAGCGTGGTATTTTCATGTGCCACGCCCCAGGAGGTCTTTGTCCTCCGGAAGCGGTGTTCTGGTGACCCAGAAGCTCAGGGCAGAGAGAGGGAGGCCACCTGGGGGCACTGAGATGCTGTGGGGAGTCAGGCCTGGGTGCACGCCTGTGGCCCCAGCGCTCCACAGGCCAAGGCAGGAGAATCAAAAGTTCCAGCCCAACCCGGGCAACGCAGCGACTTAATGAGGAACCTGTCTCAAAATATGTATTTTGAAATTGTGAAGGTCCTGAGCTCAATCTCTAATACTGCGAAAAAGAAAAAAGATTCTGGATCTGCATGTCCTTGGACGAGTCTATGCTTATATACCTCAAAGCAGCCCAGAAACAAGCCTGGTTTTCAGCTGCAGCTCAGTGAGCCCCGAGGGCAGAGGTGACCTTCAGATCTTGCTGGTGGGGACGAGCCACACACTTCCGGTCATGTTTTGGACGGCAAGATGTCCCGCTCAGTGTCACGGCTAGCGTGCTTCCTAAAGGAGTTTGGCGAGGCCCTAGCAGTGCAGTGACAAAGCTCCCTCCGCTGGCCCGGTGTCGTGGTGCTCAGACCTGCGTCGCACCAAGGGGCACCGCCTCGGGCAAGGCCCAGATCTACCTTTGCTCCTGCTGTGACTCTGGGGATGGTGACTCTGGTTTTTCTGGTCCCCTCGGGTCACAGGAAGAAACAGAAACGACTTCTCAAGGTGACCGTGTGCGGTGGAGCTGGATGTCTCACCCTGAAGCAGCCCTTCCAGCCCATCCTCTGTGAACTACACAAACTCAAGTCACAGTGTTTTGGACAGAAGGAAGTCAAAGAGCCCTAAAGCAGGACCCCGGCTTCAGGGACCCCGAATGGAGGAGGGAGAGCCCCGGAGGCTGTGATGCACCTGAGATCAGTCCGTGTGGTCGGTGGTGAGAATCAGCGTGACCCCCCAGGGTTGCCATAGCACCTGGCAGCGACTAGCTATTAAAGTGTGATAGACAGGACACAGTGGAAGGACAGACGGAGAAATGGACCGGGGAAGGGAGGGAAGGAGACAGGCAAAGGAGAAGGAGGGAGAGAAGAAGGAGGGAAGAGAGGCAGGGGACGAGGAAAGCATCCGTCACGTTGAACAGTGACCGTTTGGTGCCGGATAAGAAGCGCGGTTCTTTCTGGTGCAAAAGAATCAAGAGGGAGATTTCCCCATGTGACGCACATTCTTCACGTAAACCGCGCTTCTGAGTTGCTCAGAGTTGGAGGGAGAGGGGCCAGACGTGACTTTTACAGTCATAGGACAATGTCCCTGTCTTTCTACTGTTCTGTTTCCACCACCCTTCGCCTCCTTCCTGGTCTGTGGCCCAGGGCCCTACAAGTCTGAATACGCAGGGGCGCTTCCTGTCCGTGCAGGTGCAGATGAAACCGGCCCTTGGATATTTTCATTGTTTCTCCGTGGCGCTCTAAGGTTCGGACCCCTTCCTGCTCGGAGCCCTGCGATTGCCGCGTCCTGCGGCGGCGGAGCGCTCTCGGGCTCAGCGTGGTTTGAGTGGGGGTTAAAGGAGCTCGCTGCTCACCGCCCCTAGCTTTCAGAGGCGGGTAGCGCGCAAGCTGCCGGTGGTCTCCAGTTCTCCTTCGGTTCTCCTTCAGCTGCTGGCCCAGGAGCACCGCGTCTCACACGGTGCGTTTCAAAGCAGTCCATGTTAAAGAAGAGCCGGAAGGTCCGCTGCGCCCCCGCGGGG